TATATATATATATATATATATATATATGTATATATTTCTATTCTTAGTGGCTCAACCTTGTTCATACTCAAAATGATCAAAGTGTAATTGTTTTATTCTTGAATATTGATTCAGTTGTAGACTTGTAGTGTTGTGCTATGCCATGATGCATCTATAGGATCAGATTAATTGTTTATTAGAGATAGGAATACTTGTTTGTTACCTGGCAGATAGGAGTTTTTTTTTCATCTAAATTTATTTATATTTTTTAATTTTTTGGATTATGATGTGCATCAATATGCATTTGCAGAGATGATTCCACAGAATGCCGGACTTTCTTTTTTAGATCTATCTGCAATTTACACCTAGTGCTTCACATTATGCAGTTGTTCTGTTTGAATTTCATGACTGAATATTAAATCTCAGATTCGCACACGTGAATGGCTTTTCTATTCTGAAGAAGGACAGTGGATGGTGGTCAGAAGCTCCAAAGCAGCTCGTCTCATAATGGTACTTTGCTATTAACTTCATAAAATTACATTTTGTTGGTGTTTTTGAGTATGTCATATTACTTTTGTAATTGAAGCTTCGAAGCAAATCTGTGACTTTAGGTTTTCTTAGATGCCAGCCATTCTGATACCAGCATGGAGGAGATTCAGGTAGAAATATCCTCTTTAATTTATGCTTCAGCCTTGATGGACATGCCATTATAACTGGTTACTGTGCTGCTTTTTACCGACTTGTGTTTGTTATCCCTTTTCAGAAGGATTTGTCTCCATTGGTTAAAATGTTGGCACCTGCAGAAAATGAGATTGGAGCTCAAATACCGTCTGTATCTTGTACCGGTTGCATTTTTCATTTATTTTGAGCAACGATAACATAAATGTTCATTTTTTCCCCTGTTTTTCTATTGATGCCAAAATATTCTAACATGTTCTAATATGTATAACAATGACTACTATACTGTAAACCATATTTTATATTGTCACTTGTCATACTTATAGCATGTTATTATTTCTGTGGTAGAATTTATTTTTGTCTAAATTTCTCTCTAGAAGTTGGCAGACAAGATATTATTTCTTGTAAATAAGCTGAACCAAACACACCATAAACACCAAATGAATTACAGTTTTTTCTCACAAATTCTTGAATGCATGTCTGCAGTTTCATGATGGCAAGTGAGGGGATCAAGGAACGAAACACCATTCAGAAGGTTAGTAACAATATACATAATGCCATTTCTTTTTTGTTGTTATTTTGATCTAGTGAACTCTCTCTCTGTCTATGAAGACTGTGATTCGTAAGTAGCAGTTTACGTGTTCAATTTATGGTGATGACAAACAAATTTACGTGTTCAATTTATGTTTTCTATGTCTTCTCCTGTTGTAAATGGGTTTATGGTACCCCTTGTGCCAGATTAATAAATTCCTGCT